ACGCATTGCGTGTATTTTATAACGTGTCATGAGTTTAAAAGGGGAAAACTTCAAATCTCACCTTGCCTTGACTTTCTGAAAAATTCACGCGACACATATTAACCATATGATTGGGCTTAATCAAATGTCACATACAAATCCTTTGCCACCTTCAGTTATATATTATTATCATTCCGTCATTTATATTATATTATTATCATTATTATTATTATTATTATTCATTAATTTTTTTTAAACGAAAAGAAACTTCCTTTGGAGAGGATTCATCTTTCAACGACCACCTGAACTTATTAGCCTCTTCATGGTTCAATCCAGACTGAAAAGGATGAATTGTATTTTTCCTTAATCCAGCGGGATCCAGTTTAAACAAACCTCTATCCCCTTCCCTCCCTCCCTCATGTATCTTGTTGTCACCTAACAAAACTTTTCTTTGTTCATGTCACACAAGGCATGTGTGCATCAGTCACGCATCTGCACGCAGCCACCCCCGCTCAATTTTTGCTTGCGTTAAGTGACTTACTTGGCTTACCAGTCACGGCAGTAGTCAAAACCAAACATGACAGTTTTTATTCAACTTAGTCAAGGCGTGTTACATTTGAGCCGTTACATGAGGTGGCTCATTTTGCAAGATTATCACAGAGATTTGCGCAGTTGTGCCGGCTCCATGCCACGTTGGATAGTGCCCGGGCGAATTGTTATGGCAACTGGCCAGAGAAACCATATTTTCTCACGGTGTCATTTCGTCAGCAGTTCGCCTTATCCTCATCTCGGCTGAGTGGTACTGAGTACTAATATGACTGACACGAAAATCTTTTACAGATTATTATTTACGCGCACTTTGTTTTGGATTAATGGTTGCCACGGTAACCCAGGTAAGCCTCTTGACTCTGAAGAATGTGTTATCATGAATCCCTGTCTTGTCGGTTTTCCCCGTGCCTACTGAATTCGTTATTCTGTTGTGCTCTTACAGGAGGAGACTTCTCCAATAGGGACGGATCTGGATGTAAGTCATCTAACTTGAGCCTCTTATCGAACTTCAGTCGAACACTAGAAAAGTTAAAAGATTGAGCGTCATGAATATTATAATTGTCTTCCACAGAGAAGTGAATTTTTGCATGTATGCTTTTGAAAGCTGGTTACTTGTAGCTGCACTAGTATGTCTTAATACTGTGAACATCACTCAAGGAAGCTATTACCCGGTTGTCATTCAAAACTCAAGGCAAGCCTTGATTCGGGATCAAACTGCCAATACAGCTATCAATCAATCTCTAACTTAATCAATCGATCGACCAATAGATTGAATCGTCGTTCAGTCTGCAAGTCAGTTTTTAAGTCGATGAGTCAGTTATCTGTTTTGCTGTCTGTGTCTGTCAGTCAGTCAGTCAGTCAGTTAGTCAGTCAGTCTGTCAGTCTGTCAGTCAGCCAGCCAGCCAGTCAGTCAGTC